AATAAACAACACAATATGTAACAAAACATTTAAATTAATACTCAATTAATTATTTTACAAATTTGAATAAACAACACTATTAACATTCCCCTCCTCGACAAAGCATCAAGTTGATGCTCAGAAGGCGCATAAGTCTGTCTGATGGCGTGAGTCCATACTGTAGCTTAGAAAAGTTGCTGTACGTTATCATTATTATAAGGATAAAGTTTGAATATATGGAATAAAATTTTGGAATAAAAGAATTTGGAATAGAATTTTTGGAATAGGGAATGATGTAGAATAAAAATTTTGTAATATGGAATGATGAATATATAGAATTCCATAAGAATGATAAATCAACAAAGATTATTATATAATATTCGCGTATTATGAAACTTTGCGTTTTATATTTTATTAGTATCGTTTTAATATTTAATTAGTAGCGTTTTAATATTTAATTTATTTTTATTTATTTTCAATTTCCGAGGTTAAAATATGCAAATATTATGCACATTTCCCTCTCTTAAAAAAAATTTAAATTTCACACAACATTTTTCTAAAATAATGATGTTTAATTTTTACATAACCTTTTGTCTTCAAAAGCTTTATTTCAAAAACATTTATATCATATTAAGTATTACTTATAAGGGTTATTTAAATCTATCATGTGATTTAAACCTTTTAATTCATGTTTTAATTCCATTTTAATATATTTAAAATTAAAGTTTTATCTTCTTGTTTAGGATTTTTAATGGTTTTATTTTTAATTATATCTAAAAATTCATCTTTATGTTTAATTAATTTACAACAATTGGTCATCATACAAGAAATCAAAAAAAAATATAAAAATTTCACTAAGAAATTAAGTAAATAATTTTTTTAAGGCTTTTATGTGTTCAAATATGTCCATTATTGATTTACATTTAAGTTATTTTAAGAAGTAAATTTACAACATGCCTTTATCTCGGCATAAAATTTTAATTTATGATAACTTTTCTTCTTACGTGGATTAGAATAATTAGTAATCATAATTGGTCTCACAATATAGAATTCATAACCTAACGTCCAACTTCCATATTGGTTCTTACTAGGTTGTCACATTAGGTTAGGTGCTGGTTATCATATTCCAGTCCAACATCCAGAGCCAGGACACCATGAAGAAAGAAGCTTTTTGCATGAAAGTGCTAAGGTTTGATTCTAGGTCATCTCCATAGATTAAGCAAACACAATAGGTAGTCATCACAATAGGTAGTCATATAAATAGAGTCATCTCAATGGATTAAGCAATCATCACAATAGGTAGTCATATAAATAGAGTCATTACAATGGATTAAGCAATCGTCACAATAGGTAGTCACCACAATAGGTAGTCATATAAATAGAGTCATCTCAATGGATTAAGCAATCGTCACAATAGGTAGTCAAATCAATAAATAAGGTAGTCATCACAATTTTGAATTTAATTTTTACTTTTTTATTTTAATTTTAGGCAAATTTTATATATTTTCTTCTTTTTTTTTTTACAAAAACGTAACGGGGCGCCATAAAAGAAACAAATAAATAATTAAATTGTATTATGTTTTAAATAAATTTTATTTCTACTTTAAAAAATAAAAAAATTATAATTATAATATGTATATCATCGACTGGTATATATACTGGTATATGTAACAAAACATTTAAATTAATACTCAATAAATTATTTTACAAATTTGAATAAACAACACAATATGTAACAAAACATTTATAATTAATACTCAATTAATTATTTTACAAATTTGAATAAACAACACTATTAACAGCCTCCGAACTATAATTGGTAACTTCTACCCAAAAGTAATATATAATAATAATTTATGAAGAATATCAAAACATACTCCAATTTATATTATATTAAAGATACGTCGCATTCAATTCCTAGCTCACATCATAAGGAACTCAGACTTTTGTTTTAGTAGAAAGCAACGGGAAAACTTTTGTTGATATTTAAAATTCAATTTTATTATATATATCTATATACAAAATCTTGTCATATATATACATTTTTTATAATAGCGTATTTACATGTTAACAAAGTAAAAATACATATGTCCTTTACAATTTCATTTTGCATTACCGATTTTATTTATCTTTTATTACACTGACCTTTTAAACTAAAAAATACAATATTCAATTTTAGACTTTTAAACAAAAATTATAATATTCAATTTTAATATTTAACATTTCCCCTTCTTTTTAAATTTCTTCTTTCCTCAGTTTCTTTGACCAGTTGAATCGATTATCGAACAACATGAAACATCGTTGGTTGAACATCATTGTTGAAACGTTAGTTGAACATTGTGGTTGATTTGCTGTTTGTATTGATCATCCCATTTATCTTTCAAAATTATATATATATTTTATTTTTTACAAAATTTTATTTATTTATAACAATCATTTTCTATGTCGTAGGTCATATTCTCGCTTTTGAACTTGACTTTGAATTTTCGAATTTTTAACTTGAACTTGACTTTGAATTTTCGAATTTTGAACTTGAACTTGTTCACTTCTTCCTCCTCTAAAAATTTTTTCAGTATTATTTATTGATGCTCTCTTTTTTATTTGATCCAAATGTCTCCTGATAATATGATGTCCATTGTCTATTCTGTATGTCAAGTTGCCTTCTTTTTGTACTACTACTCCTTTATCCCAAATATTTTCTTTAAACATTTTGTACCAAATTTTATCTCCTTTTTCTATAATTCTATTTGTTGATATTTTGCGATTTATTTCGTTGTTTATGTCTATGTTTGGTTTAACTAAGTCCCATTTTGTTCTAATCTCTCTTGAAAACATTAATTTGTTCGGAGTTATATTGGTTGTAGCCTTAGGTGTGTTTCTATAATTAAACCAAAATTTTTTCCAAAGCTATGTCTAAATCTATTTTTTTGTTGGTTTTCATGTTCCTTATCATGTTCATTTTCATTGATCTAATCATTCTTTCACATTGTCCATTTGACTGTTGATGATGTGGAGCTGTAAGTATGTGTTTGATACCATGGTCTTCACAGAATTTTTTAAACAAATAGCTGGTAAAGTTCGTACCATTGTCGGTCACGATTATGTGTGGTATTCCAAATAAGCTAATTATTTTCATTAATTCTATTACTGTCAATTCGGTTGTTATATTTTTTATTCTTTTGATTATGGGAAATTTGCTGTAAGCATCGACGATTACCATATAATTATTGTCTTCAAATTGAGCTATATCTATGTGTATTCTTTCGAAATTTTTCGTAGCTGTTTGCCATGGATTTTGTATTTTGTGTGAATTATCTGCCCATTTGTTGCATGTTTCACAATTTTTTATTTCTTGATCAATTTCGGTATTGATTCCAGGCCACCATACATAATCTCTTGCTAACAATTTGGTTTTTCCAGCTCCTAAATGTCCTTTATGAAGTTCCTCTAATATCTCCTTTCTCATTTTGTATGGTATGATGATTCGGTTATCTTTAAAAAGACAATCTTTTATCAAACTTATTTCTACTTCCATATTTTTGTATGTTTTATTCTTTATGTTTTCCTTATTCCTTATGTTATTTATTATTTCCATTAATTCCTTATCATTATTTGTTTCTTATGATATTCTTTTGAAGTTTATTGGTATATCCCATAAATCATTATTTACGTCCTCATTTTCTATATTTTGTACAGTGTCTTCGGAGTTAATTTGTGGTAATCTAGATAAGCAATCCGGTACTATGTTGTATTTTCCCGGTCTGTGAATTATTGTAAAATCATGAGCTCCCATCGCTAAATTCCATTTTTGAAGTCTCATTGATATCGTGTTATTATCTTTTAATCCCTTCGTAAATATGTATATGAGTGGTTTGTGATCGGTGTAGATTTTAAAGTTGGTGCCTATCAAGTATTCTTGAAATTTTTTTATTGCATATATTATTGCTAATGCTTCTCTTTCTATGTTCGTATAATTTATTTCCGCTTTTAATAGAGTTCGTGATGCGAAAGCTATGGGATTTTCTTTACCATTTTTCTCTATATGAAATAACACGGCTCCTAAGCCTTTTTTCGAAGCGTCTGTTGCTATGCCAATCGGTAATTCTGGATTATAGAAATTTAATGTTGGCGGAGAGCTTATTAATTTTTTTATATCATCGAAACTCTTTTGATGTGCTTCTTCCCATATCCATTTATCTTTGTTGACTATTTTGTACAAGGAATCTGCTTTGTCTGCGAAGTCATGTAAAAATTTTCGGTAATAACTGGCCATGCCCAGAAATGTTGCTAATTCCTCTTTGTTTGTTGGGTAGGCATGTTAGTAATTACTTTAATTTTGTCTCCGTTTGCATGAATACCTTTATCATCTATATCGTGTCCTAAAAAACGTATTTCTTTTTTGAAAAATATACTTTTGTCGAAATTTGGTATTAGCCCATATTTGGAAATTCGGTCAAAAACTTTTTTTATATTGTTTAAATGATCTTGAACATTATCACCCGTGATTAATAAATCATCAATGTAGAAAATAACATTTTTCATATCACCAAAAATTTTATCCATAGATTGTTGAAAAATTGCCGAAGAATTTTTTAATCCGAATGGTAGTCTTGTAAATCTGTAGTATCCTTTGTGTGTCGATATTGTAAGTAAATCACGCGATGTTTTGTGTATAGGAATCTGAAGGAACGCTTGCTTGAAGTCTATTTTTGAAAATTTCTTCCCTTTAGATAATTTTGCAATCAAGTCGTTGATACGTGGTATAGGATATTTAAAATCTTCCAAAGCTGGATTTATCGTATTTTTGAAATCTGCACATAGTCTTAACGAACCATCTTTTTTGAAAACTGGTGTGAGTGGACTTGCCCATCACACATCATCTACCGGTTCTATTATTTTATCGTCAATCCATTTTTGTAATTCAGTTGTAATTAAATCATAACGTTTGTACGGGACACGTCTTGGTGCTATAATTTTTGGTATTGCATTTTGTTTCAAATGTAGTTTGACGTAGCTGCGATTTATTGGTTAATGTCGTTATTGTTATCTTCTTCTACTAAATTCACAAATTGATTAAGTATGTTTTTAAAAACTTTTATCCATGTCCTTCCCAAGAGTGCAATCTTGTCACTCTGTACTACATATGCATTCAAAATTTTGGTTTTGTCATCGTATTTGGCTTTTACATTGGCATTGCCTATCACTTTTATTGTTCTTCCGTCATATCCAGTTAATTTAGTATCCGATTTATTTAAGATCTTTATCCCAATCTTTCTTGCAATATTTATCGGTAATATTGTGAAACGGGATCCGGTGTCAATCTGCATAATAATAGGTGTGTCGTTCAAATATAATGTGACTTTATATGCATCATATTCTTTGTTATTATCATCATTTAAATTGTTGATATCCAAGCTGAATAGATTGTATTTCTTGTTTTCTATTTTCTCAACTTTTTTGTTTTCTGATTTGACGTTATTTTCCTCGTTTATTTCTTCTATGTTCACTGTATTAACTTTATTCGTGTATCTCTGTTCATTATTTTCATAGTTTTGGTATCGATTGTTACGTGATTGATCGAAATTCTGATGTCGATAATGTTGATATTCATTGTATCTGGGTCTAAACCTTGGTTCATCATAATATTTATTAAAATTGTAATTATTATTATTGTTATAATTATTTTTAAATCTCGAAAATCTATTATACGATCTTGGTATGTAATATCCTCTGTCGTTGTAAAATCTATTATTAAAATTATTTTGACAATGATACCTTGGTTCATAATTGTTCTGATGTCTTGGATAGTAATTACCTTGATATCTGTAATTGTAATTATTTTGCCATTGTTGATGATTGTTGTATCTAGGTGTCCAGGATTGTCCATAACTCCTATTCGTTGGTACGTTCGAATCATATTTTATTATTTGTTTATTTGATTCTCTCTTTTCATCTTTTTCTCCTTGTACTAACTTTATCGTCGAAGTTGATGCTGCTTCACCTTCTATTTTTATATTATCCATTTTAATATTTATATTTTCATAATCATCCCCATCATTTATCTCTCTCCCAATTCTTAATATGTCTGTGATAGTTATATTTTCTAACTTCGATATCTGTTCCCTAATTTTTTTATTATTCGACGATATTTTTATCTTTTCAATTATTCTCTCTTGATCCTTAAAATTGCATTTATTATTCAACTTACATAGTCTAGTTACCCATTTACCAAATGTTTCCCCTTTATCTTGAACAGCTGCATTGAATTCCGTTTTATACGTGTCTATTGATTTATCGGGATGTATTAGCCTGTATTTTTCCAGTAACGTTTTCAAATCGTTGTAATCAGATGGAACGCAAAGAGATTCCAGGTCCAAATAGTCATCTTCTGGTAATCTTTGAATGAACGCATTAGCTTTTTCTGCCTCGGGAACCTGCGTGTCCTTTAATAAATTTTCAAATTTTTTAATGTAAGTATCAATATTGTTGTTGTATGTAGGATATTCTATATTACTTTTTACATTAGATAACGATTTTGTCATGATAAATTTATAAAATATTATATTGTTACCTTTCTTTAATTTATATAATTTAAAATAATTGTTCTGTAATGATATCTGGCTCTTTGGAACGACGCTGCCACCATTTTGTTTTAGTAGAAAGCAACGGGAAAACTTTTGTTGATATTTAAAATTCAATTTTATTATATATATCTATATACAAAATCTTGTCATATATATACATTTTTTATAATAGCGTATTTACATGTTAACAAAGTAAAAATACATATGTCCTTTACAATTTCATTTTGCATTACCGATTTTATTTATCTTTTATTACATTGACCTTTTAAACTAAAAAATACAATATTCAATTTTAGACTTTTAAACAAAAATTATAATATTCAATTTTAATATTTAACACAGACCATAATCTAGTTCATGACGCCATTACATGGCTCTACATTTATAATCGGAATGAATATACAAAATATAAATCTTTATGGTATTATAAAACCATAAAAGATATTATGGAACTAAACTAAACAAGAAACAATTTATCAAGTTTAACAACTGCAAAAATTCCATAAAGAAGCTCTTCAGAATTAAAGACAAATATTTTAAATAAAAAACATCTGGGCTTGTTTTTATAATGTTATTTAATCTCAACTAGTATTTTCCAAACCTTTTCAGGACTTCAGGACAATTCAAAATAGAATTGGTATGCTTTTTAAATTTTTTTTTTTTTAATATGAATTCACGCTTTAATTGTAAAAAATTAAATTTAAATCAGCCACAACCCGCCTTTAAAGTAATGAACTTATATTGCAGTTCTTAGGCATAGGCTCTTTTTTTTGCCCCCTCTTTTTCTTAAAGCCTATGGACGTCTGTAACATTTTTCGAAATGTTGCGCGTACAAGCACGTGCGACTTGCCCACAAACGTGTAGAGGGCTCCTCATATTTTTTTAAACTTTCACCCCAATTAACTTATGTTCCAATTAGATGGAAATGACAAATGAGGAATACCTAGCGTAGCTCTGTTGTTTATTCAACGTCAGAGGGCATATGCGCTATATATCACGGATCACGGAAAATATGAAATTTGATTTTGTCGAAGAAAATCAACCCTTATCAGATGTAGAGTTTAAAGTGCATTTTATTATATCTTTATAAGCTTAGTATAATTTAGATAGAAGAGAAGTCTTTATGTGCTCATAAGATAGTATTAACAATGAAGAGTGATGTTTTTAAAAATATGTTTTGTGGCAGTATTCCATTTAAAGATGAACCAGTTTTAATCAAAGATATTGAATATAAAGTGTTTAAAGCTATGTTAAAGTAAAATATTTTTTATTCAATATATATTTGATGATTTAAATAAAACACTAAGAAATTTCTTGAAAGATATGAAATTCATTGTTATTTAAATATCAACTTTCAATTATATTAAATAATTTTATGAATGATTTTAATAATGATAATATTGTGTCTTATAATTTTGGTGATCCTTATAAACTTTGATAAGTTATTAGATTTCATTTATGCAAAATAATCATCGACCATGGGGGTATCCATTTTTAACCACACTCTCAATTCAAAATAATTCTTTTTTTATTGGCAGACTATATATTAATCCAAGCTTTTTTTATATTTTATGCCCTTATTTTTTGAAATTTGACCATTGTAATTTTGTTTTGGGAAACAAAATGTTTTAATTGACTAATTTTCCAACTATTTGTCCAAACCTTGGTAATTTTTTTATTTATTTTAAGGTTCATCCCAAATTTTATTCTAAAATACATTTGTTACTCAGCTCCAACCCAGATTTTAATTGTGTTAATTGTTACGTTTAAAAGAAATGTGTTACCCAGTAACATAATAATACCTAGGCTGATGATTCATTAATAATAATACAAAATTGTTGAATGTAAATCAATTAAAGTCTAGACACACCATTTTGATCTGCTAAATACCTATCTTGTGAGAATAGCCTTGGAATTATTGTAAAGAAGGATATTAATTTAAAGTATAATTATATATTTAATAAAATGCCACCCCTGTATGGGCCAGAAGCATATTCAATTTATTATAATGTCATAAAATGAAAAATATTATAATTCTATTTAAAAAAACTAAAATAAAAAATTAAAGTAATATCACTTATTATAACAACAACAGATTCTTCCATATGGGTAATTCCATGACAAATTGACCAGTGATTTGGCCGACCATCTCAAAAATGAATGAAACTTGGCATGTTAGTTATGTATGTTGTACATGTTAATAAAATCAAAATTTTAGAGTGCTAGCTCAACCAGATCCAAAGATATACGCCTTTAAATCGAAAATCGCGAAGTGCATGATTTCATTAAATCTTGTTATTTTAAAAAATACTTAAGATAGAGTTACAAATTATATATCATTTTATAACCCATAAAATTTTACGTTGGTATATATAAAAAAATTAAAATATTTCAAGTGTTTTCTTATTTCCGGTAAAAATAAAAAATTAACATTGTTGGGAAGGGATTTTTTTTGGGTGTTAATATTCACTAAAAATGTTTATTACCTTTATATTAAATGATTTAATAAAAAATCTCGATAGCCATTTTTGATTTTTTAATTTTATTTGAAATTTTATTATTTATATAAATAAAAAAATGTAATATAGATGGCGTTATATTAAAATTTATTTATTACATATAATTTTTAATAAAAATATGAATAGAATAGTATTGTGATTAAAATTAAAAATCAATTGAGTATAACCAAGAATGATGTCTTTGGGCGATATGTAAGCAGGCAGCCCATACAGATATGATTTTATTAGGACGCTATATTGTAAAATAAACATACTTTAAAATTTTATACACAAACAATATAAAAATAAATACCTCTTGTTTTAATCTTATCCCTGCTTATTAATAGAATTTCTTGAGACGATCCAAAGAAGATTGAACCTCCGCTTTATTTGTTGGTGTGGCTTTATATTAGATATATTTTTCAAATTATCCCATTGATTTTATGTCCTAAATATACAACTTCTATCACCTCAAGAACACTATTTTCTTTGATGGCTCTCAGACATTTGTCACAAATTCTTTTGAAAATTTTTTGAAACATTGATTATGTTGCTCCGGTGTTACACCAGTTATCATCCATATAATAGAAAACTCTTTCTCCCTGGAAAACTCAAGCCATTGTACGCTGAAAAATAGATGCTGACGCATTAAATCCAAAAGATTACCTACTAAAGGCAATTAACCCTTTAGAAGTCCTTATCATAAAAATCTATGAATTTCTTCCTTTAACTGTAAATAAGCAGAAGAATAATCAACTTTTGAAAAATATTTTGCACTTTAAATTAGCCAAAATTTTCTTAATTCTAGTATTGGATATTTTACTTCCACCACTACTTGATTTAAGGTAACTCGAAATTCGGCACATAGCCTCCATTGATTTTTTAACTAGAACCAATGATGTGGTCCATTCATTCACTGTATTCAATCTTAAAAATAATTCCATCATTCACCCATTTGTCTAATTCGTTTTCTATTACTTTTTTCCATTCAAAAGAAACTCGCCGACATTCTAAATGGGTGAAAAGCCTTATTTAAATTTAACGTCTACTTGATAATCATTAAGACGTCCTAAAGTTTCCTCAAAAATTATACCCTATTTTTTAATTAAAATATGTATAGCATTATTAACTTTATTTAATTCGTTAATTTTAATATTTATTTATTTCCATATTTACTTTAGAGCTACACGGTTCTACCACTATTTTTTCCGGATATTCAATATGATTCACCACAGGATATTTTTCTTCGTTAAATAAATTAGCCATTTCTATTTTTCGAACTCTCTAACTATAAATGATTATTTTCCTTTCAGCATTGTTAGCGGTTAATCCACTATCTATGATAAAAACATCCTAATAATTATTGCATGGTTGAATTTTAGTAATCCAATCCCACCCCATAGTTGTCTTTACATTCTTTTCCACCACCCTATAAATCCAAACTTATGATTGTATCATTAAAAACCGCACCCCACTTCGTTTTACCTAAAACTTTAATTTCGGATCCATCAAATTGTTTAACACACATATTCTCTTCTTCAATAATGCCACGCAGCCAATATTTATAAAAATTTTCTTGACCGGTTCAGTGGCATTTTAGCGGTTCGGTTCAGGCTCGGCTATAAATTTTTTAGCGAGTTAATGGTTCAGGTTCGGTTTGGATCCCTGCTTTTATTTATAACAACCTATATTTCCATACATTCTGAATGATCATTAATATTTTCATTTAATTTTTTAATCACATTTGGTTCAACATTTTTGATTCCATTTAAAATTACCTTTAAATTACTTTCCTAATACATTATTATCCTAATAATTATCCGATAAAGCAGAACCTTTCATTTCAGATATTTTTTTCAATGAACATATATTACCATTTTTCATTTGTTTCTTCAGTTTATTGAACACCATGTCACGATTTTTGGCACCTTTGAAGCCCTGTATCTCGGGAACCAGGTGACATTAGCGAACTAAATTAAATGGATTTCTCATTTTTTTTTATCTATCTAAATGATTTCAAATGGGTGGGCCGAATCGTGATCGATTTGTCATGGAATAACCTTTTAACAACTCTGCCTAATTATCTCTTAAATGGTTAATCTAAATTTACTTCAATTCGAAATTTAGATACATTTACACTGACGAAATAAATCTAGAAAAGACCCTCGATCTTCCCGAACTGATTAATCTTTTGTACGCCTCTAAAAAATATATGATAACTTCACTGGAAACTAAATGCGTCGAGTATATAAATAGCAATATTGATCAATCCAATGCCATCGACGTTTACCTATCTACCCCGATT